CCCGTCCCCAGCGTGCATGCATCCCCCAGGGCGCTCCCCTGGTCCCCCTTCACCATCAGCGCCCCGCTCCCGAAGGCCATGGCCGCAGCCACCCCGACCCGCTGAGCATCCAACTGCTCCCTCTCAATTCTGCTCAGGTTCCCGGCGAGGGGTTCAGGCACTAGTTGCTCGACCACGGAGCCTGTCATGAGGCTGAGTACTGCAAAAGTGCCTGGAGCCAGGAGACAAACGCAGGGATCACCAGCTGTGCCTCCCTCGGCAAGGTAACAGCTGGCTCTGCTGTTCTGGAACCCGGGATGCTGCAATCCAATCCGCTCACCAGGAAAGCGGCTGCCAGCGTGAAGACCGTGGGCCTGGAGCTGGCACAGCAGCCGGGAACCGCGGGGAGGAAGGGGAGGAGAGTGGAGCCAGCCACAAGGGTCCCTCAGGCAGCCTCCAGGGCTGTGGGATCCTCATGGGGAGGAGGGGACACAGTTCATCTCTTCCTCCCCTTCCTGCTCCGGAAATGTTCATTTTAATCAAATTTATTGGAGGAAGAGGGTCCAAGTAAACTCCTGCCGCTTTGCACCCACTCCAGAAAGCATGCCTAGGCCAGAGTTTCAAGCAGAGCAGCAGCAAGGAGGGAAAGGACAGAAGAAGAAATGAAGACACTACAGCTCTGAGGCTTTCAGGATGCCTGGAGTTCCTGCTCATTCTCACCCCACAGGGAAGGAGAGGAGTCATGCACCAGTCCGTGGATACTCACCAGTGGAAAGGTGTCTCCCAGTGCCCAGCAAGCTGTAGATGAGGATGGGAAAGAAAGAAGTGTAGAGTCCGAACACCGGGGGTACAGAGGTCAGAAGGGCAAATGCCATGCCTAGGGGAAGGTGGAGGAAAAGGTTGGCAGTGCTGTGGCAGGGGTGGGCAGTACCCCTGGCTAAATTATGGGGTCCTCCGTGAGAGGTCCTAAAGCTGACCAGGGCACAGCTCCGTGTTGGCCTGCGTCCCATCCTGGGAGGTAGGCTTGTGTCTCTTGCCTGAGCTGAAACCGATCCAAGCGCCTCACAAGGTTGAACAGAGGAGGGGAAATGGGGGTAGGGATGTGATGGAGTGCCACAGTCCTTCCCCAGAACTTGGTCTCTTGGTTCCTTTCTCCTAACCCTCAGAGGCTCCAACTCACTGCCTTACTCCCGGGTCCCAGCCGTCCAGGCCTCCTCCCCAAAGCCTTCTAAAGCCCGGCCCCGGTCTGGCTGGTGTTGGGGCCTCTCACCCTGGGGCACGTGCACGACGCCCACGGTCACTCCGGCCACTGCATCCCCGAGCAGCCAGGCCCGCCAGCGGTAGTGGGGCAGCCAGCGCAGTGGGGGCAGCCTA